ATTAATATATGAAAAAGTTTACTTAAAACATGAAGATTGGTTTAATTAATACAAATTTATAGATTTTATAATTTTATTAATAAAATTATAGAAAATAATATGATTTTTAAATTTATCAACTCTTTCCATCAATCACCAAAACAAATTTGAAGCTAAAGAAAGACCAACACTTAGTTATTATTTTATTAAAACAACAATAGAACTAGTTTTAAGCTAAAAAATAGAATATAGGAAAACAACCTAAGTTTCTTAAAACAACTTTGCTTACTATGTTTTCAAAAGTTCACTTCTTGGAAAATTTTATATTTCTGACAAAAATTTTAAAAAGTTTTTTAAAAATTTGGAGACTTACTGTTGACTCTATATTGCAGATTACAATTTAACAAAATAAACAAATATATCTATTTTAGATAAACAAACAAACAAATTAGAATTTGCAGATAATCAACCAACATAACAAACAAACACATATATTTACAAACCAACAAACAATACATATAAAATGTCTAATTTTATTATTATAAAAATTTTTTTAATAAGTCTGAAACTGAAAGAACAGCAATACAAGAAAAACAATATAAATTTATATGAGAACAAGATAGAAAAGTTGCAAAATATCTTGGTATTAGTGAAACCTATCTTATCACAATTATATACAACATCCTGCAATACTTCAACTATGCTCAACACAAGTTAACAAGAAACCAAATTCTGAAGAAGAAAATATTCTACTAGAATATCCAATTATCAATACAATGCAAGTAGATAATACAAATAAAAATCATCTCTAGGAAAGTAGCACTAAAATAAAAGTTGAATCTTCTCTTATAGAAAATCTAATTATACACCCAACTGAACTTCCCAAAACAATTAATATTAACACAGAATTAGAGAGAAAAAACAAAATATTGCTTAATAGAAGTGAAGTCAAAACTGAACTATTTTCTATGGAAAATGCTCTAATAACACTATTTATTGAAATCAGGAGTACTATTAACAATATAGAAATAGAATTACAAGACAACCCCAATTGAGAAATTTTAAATAATAAGAAGTAATGACATATACTCCTAAAGATTATATAGAAATAATCAAAGACATATTAGTAAAAAAGGAGTGTAGTATACTGGACTATAGCTTTAAGAACCTTATTAAAGATAAACTGCTAGCAGATACAAAGCTATCAAAGCAAACAAGCTGCAAGAAAACTAAACAATATGAAGATATCTACAATTCAGTTTGAGCTCTGAAAATAAAATTATGCACCAAAAGCCTTTGTCATCTACTTTTTTTTATAATTTGGAATCTTTCAAAAAATATAAAAATATCTATAATCAAGTTATATCTGAATATCTATGGTATGGCAACAGTTATTGCATAGTAACAAAATTTTAGAATGAAAGTAGCATATATCAAGATTCTTTCAAACTCAAAACAAAGAGAAAAATCTCTAAAATAAAGCTGGTCAATTTACCTAGAACAAGACAAAACATTCCAAATAACACTGGACAAGTTTAATATTACTAAAATAGAAACAAAAAACAATTACAAAAGTGTTATCCCAAACATACTAATATCAGCATATAATAGCCTTCTCTTAAGCTAACTTAAAAAAAGTACAAAATTCAAGCAGTATAAATACTTTACAACTGAAATAGAAATCAAAGAAAGAGAGCTTATTTGTATTTAAAATCTAAGAAGAATTGCTTACTATCTCAAAGCTTCAAACTATATTATTTTAATTCCAAACTCAAACAGCACCTAATTACAGAAAATCCAAATAAGAAAAATTTTATGATAGCATGTTTTATTATAAGAAGGAAGATAGAAGCCAAAATAAAAAAAAGAGCAAGAAATGAAACAAAACCACTTAAAAAAAGAATCTAGCCAAGTACACATTTACTAAACAGATAAGTAAGACTAGAGGATCTACATTTACTTATATTAATAACTTGGAAAGTGGTGGAATTAATAGTATTTGTGAATTTTAAGCAATAATAAAAAACCTCTTAGAAGTATAAAAACATATTTGCAACTAGTTCGAATAAAATAGAAATAATCAGGAAAAGAGAAAATCAAAATAAACAAAAAACTAAGAGGCTTTATAATGAAAACTACTTCAAAAAAACTAGATTACATAGTGTAGACTACAATAAGTCAAGAGAGAATCTCACAGTTAAGTGCAAAAAACAAAATAATATATTGGAGCAAATCTTGATAGATTACAAAAAATAGAAGAAAAGCAGAGGCCCAGCCCCCAATTTCTTCTAAGGGTATCACAGTTGTATTAACAGAAACAAACAAGCAAAGTAGCTTGTTAGGGCAAACACCACTTAAGATAACTAATAATGCCTTAGTATCTGTTTTAGAATTAGAATCAGTACTAGAAAATATAGAACAAAACAATAGAATAGAAAAAAGATTTGCATAAATAAAATAGGCTTCTATAATATTAATGGTCTAAAAGGAAGCAAGACAAAACTGCAAAAGCTCATAGATATTGGTATTGAAGAAAATTTGAATATTATAGGAATAACTATAGATGCTAGTGAGATTAATTTTACCAATTTCACCAATAGTGGTAAAATTATTTTACCACATTTCACTATATTTTACCAGCATCTATAGGAATAACAGAAACAAATATAAATGCAAGAGAAGCTTTTTTTTTGAAGTTAACTGGCAATACTATAGAGCCTTCTAAACAAAAGATAATATAGAAAAAAGAAAAGGTTTGGAAGTAGGGTTACTAGTAAGAAAAAAGTAACAAACTCACCTTACTAAGATAATAGTAAAAGATACTTATATACTAAAAGCAGTATTTAGATTTAAAAAAACAACACTAGTAATATAGATAGTTTATTTTTCACAAAATAATAAGAATACAAAGAAAAAAATATAGCAATACCTAATAGAAGATGTTACCAAAAGTAAATTAAATATGAAAATAGTTATAGGAGGTGACTTCAATACAGAATTAGACATTGGAGCAGGTACTACTATAAATGATAAAATAGGAGAAGTTATACAAGAAAACAAATAGTGCAAACTTCCTATTATAAGTTGGTTACAAAAAGTAGGCTTTGAAGAAGCATATTTACTTATTAATTCACAGATCTTTAAGGCAACATGGGCCAACTTCAAATCCTGCTTAAAAATAGACTATATTTGGTTAGACTCAAAATTAAAAGAACTCGTGATAGATAGTGATATTGAATCTATGGATTTCATCACGGGTAGTGATCATAACATGATAAAGACAAAACTACTGCTAAGCTCAATACAACCACCAAGCCAAATTTGATAAACTATTTTCTTATTTGAATTCTAAGAATCTGTAGAATTTAAATAAAAAAATATCATTGAATTTGACCTGGTAATTGTTGAAATATCTTCGCTCAAAGTTTAAAAAACTTTGATGTATTGAATAGAAAATATTTATGACATTTAGTCAGTTATGTATAATGATCATCATATAACTGCTAATTTTTTATGGCACTACTATGTTACTAGAGCGTGATTATAGAGAAGTCTAACTGTATATATTAATTAATATTCTAATACCCTTTAAACAATCAGAATTTGCTACTAAACAAATTTAAATAAAATCAATTACCCGAAAGTTTCAAATAATAACTATCTTCTAATAAATAACTAGATAATCTTAAGGCAATACTATCAAAACAATATATGTTATTTATTGATTTAAAAATAGCACATATAGATTTCTAATTGATATGAATCAATAAACGACTCACAACATATTTACATTTTAACTTCATTATTTTATGTCGATAATGTATTTATCGGATATATGTCTAAATAAAGTGATAACGATAAATAATTTTACGATATTTAATAACAACAAGCCCCATTAAAATCGATAACAACAAGCCCCATTAAAGCCAAACAACAAGCCCCATTAAAGCCAATAACAACAAGCCCCATTAAAGCCAATAACAGCAACAAGCCCATTTCGTGCACATCCAAATCATAATACAGTAATACATGAATTGGCGGGATTCGTTTCAAATCTAGAAAATCAGAATCCCGACAAAGTCAGTTAGTGTTAGCCAGTTTTTTAGGGATATTTACCCTAACAGGATTCTGATTGTCAGAATTTTGACCCGAAACCGAGTTGACAGGTAGAGCCACGAATAACAGTTAAAAACGAGATATAACTTGGCACATAGTAAATAATATATCGAATTTAAATCGATGGCCAGTAGCAGTGTTGTCATGGTACAGGGACACGGGACAACGGACAGTCCGGGACGGGACATCCCGGACATGTCCGCCATAATGTTAACGTTCCGGACAATTAAAAATTACAATAAGAGTGTCCTTTTTAGCCAATGGGATGCTTGATAAACTTTGTGATATAGGACACCATCACGGACGTAGGACATCATCCGGGACTGTCCGCGTCCCTGAAATTTTCACGGGACAACGTCCGTACACAACACTGGTCAGTAGTGTTGGCCACCGCGCGGGATATATGAGTGTCGTCAAAAGAAACCCCGACAATTTAAATATGGTCTATATTTAAATTGTCGGGTTTTCTTTTGACGACACTCATATTATATAGTTTGGGCAGTGTTACCTGGTTCCGAAATATTCCAAAATATAAAAAAGACAATCCCGCAAATCACGCGCGGGATTTTAAATATATGATATCATCATGAATAATATTATAGAACATGCATAAAGTCCAGAAGTCGATGTACAAAAAGAGAGTTCATATATAGAAATCATAAGATGAAGTCGTGAGAAATGAACAACCAATCAAATGCTCAGAATCACACTCATTATTTATCATTGTATTCCGTCCTTGATATAAGATTTATTTTCTAAATACAGTATCTTACAAAAATAACAACTAAAATGATACAAGTAATAATAAAATAGATATTAAATAAATTTTATATGTGTAAAATATTGATGTTAAAGGGCTCTATATTATTTAAATAAAATGCACGACGATAAAAATTTAATTTTTTTTACTGCATAAAATTGAGATATAATAAATAAGTAAATGCAGAATTAAATATTAGTAAAAAATGTAAGAAAATGCAACCTAAAAAATATATTTACCTCGAGCATGGAATTTAAAGCGACACTTTCTGTTAATTTATAATAATCGAGCATAGAATTTAAAGCGACACTTTCAGTTAATTTATAATAACAACTTTTACACCGTTTAGATTCTTCGTCCCAGATCCTTACAATTGAATCTACAATCTGATTTGGTAATTTGATCTTATCCACATTTATTGATTCTAAATTCGAAATATGATCATTAATAATAATAATTTGTGTGTTCCAAAATTCGTCTAAAATAATAATATTATCTTTAATTCCTGGAAATCTATCCTTAATATGTCGTATAAAATCCGATTCTTGGTAATTATCTTGTTGAATTATCCAATCCATCATTCCTTTTATTATGAAAATAATTATAGCTAAGCAACCGACTAGTAACAAATTGTTAAAAGAATAATAGACTGTATTATTCGAAGGTTTAATAATTTGCCATCGTTCACAAAGTGAATATGTGGAATTTACGTCATCTATATCAAAAAATTTAGAACAGTACGTATTATTTTTGAATAAGCTAAAAATTTTATTTAATAAAGTTTTTTAAGCTTACCTATTCTATTCTTTAATAAGCATTCACAAATTTCATAAAATTTCATAGTATTTTGTAAAATATGTTCATTCTTTTTTTCACAATATGATTCATCTGCTGAGCTTACATAATTGAAAAACGATCGAATATAATTGAAAAAAAATTGATTAAAAGAAGGAGTTTGCATGTTCTTTCCAGACAAGCATTCATAACTATCTTTCGGATCAGGATTATTCTCTAAGAAATATCCACAAAATTTATAACCGTCATTTGCAGTGAAATTATAATGTGTGTCTTTTATATCACTTGAAGTATGATTACTACATTTGTCTCTATAACAATTAATATCTTTGCAAAAGTCAATATATGATGAGATATTGTAATTTTTAAGATCGAAAATTTTACTGTAATGTGAAGTACTAAAATATTCTGGCAATAAATAAAAATTGTAGATTATAGTTATGACTAAGAAGAAAACTAGTAAGCAGTAAATTAACATATTCGTGATTGATGGTCTTTTAACATTATTTAATCCATTATAAAAAGAAATATAATCATTCATTAATTCTTTTGATCTACCCTTTTGAATTTTAGCCGTTTTCAATAATAATTCTAAAGTTTGTTTAATTACATTAATTTTCACATTTTCCCTTGAGAGTAATTGCAAATATTTTACGACATCGGATAAATATTCAGACATTCTTAAGGATTCCATAGCTCTTCTTTCAGTTAATTTATTGAATTTACTACTTTGTTCATCTATTTTATTCAATTCATTATTTGTGATTCTAATTTGTAATTCTCTACATTTTCGAAAATTAACTAGAATCGCTTCTGTAATTTCTTGAAGAATCAAGACGTCTGGAAAGGCCGGATTTTGCCATAATTGCATATTAATCATGATAAAATGTATAAATTCTGATAAGATGAATTAAAGTATTCTAACGAAGCGATGGAAATTAGCATTTTTAAAATAAATTGATAACTATCCGGGGGATTACATCAAAGCGATTTGGCATAAATGAGTACTACCCATTTTTTTTGAGGCTCAAACCCATTGAAAAAGGGTTGTATATTAGATGTCGTAAATTTATTAATCTTTTTAATTGATCTTTTTTTTCGATTCAATGAATAAAATGGTATACAATAGAAATAGTTTGCTTTGTTCTTTTGATTCTCTAAAGCTTGATACGGTAAGATAACGGATAATGTTTTCCGTATCTACTGTATATTTTAAAGTTGGTTCAAAATGACAAATTTTTATATTTGATTATATAATTAATAATAAACTTTATAGTTTTAAAACCGGTTATTTTATTACAATAAATGCAAGGTTATCAAGCAAATTTTATAGTCCTTGTTCATTGCGAACGGATTTGTTCAAATACTCCAAATTTAATTATAAAAGATAGATTAATTCTATATCAGAAGTTATATATTTTATATGGGAACACTACTGTAAAATTAGCCAATACACTTTTATCATTATTCGGAAAAATTAGTCTAATAATGATTTTACAAAAATGGACACAATGAAGTTTATTTATGCATCTATTGATTTAATTTACATATTAAGAACCCACTGTAAATAAGATAAAGTCTGATTGCCAAAATTCAATAACGTAAAGCGTGAGAAATCAATATGTATGAATGCGTGAATACGACAGAATATATTCATTTTATGATTAGTCTCATCATAAATTTTTCTAGTGCGCATTCAGTTAAAGAATGTACAAACTCCGTTTACGGACATAGATCCAAAAAACTAGTGACTAAAATGTTTTTGGGGTCTAAATACTATTCCCCAAAAGCATGGGAAGAAAAAAGATTTATACGTACGTACGTACGTACGTATACGTATGTATGAGTACGTATGACTTAAACACATACATATTACATATTATCAGTCAAAAAAAAAAAAATTAGAGTTGCTTAGTACGCCAAGTCGCTTAACGTTTAATATAAAGTGCTATATACTACACTATATATTTATACATTTATTTTCTCACCAACAAAGATTAACGTCTTCAAAAATTTTTAACGATCAAATGAAAAAAAGGATGACTGATAATGATGATAAAGATGTTAATAAAGACATTATTAATATGTCACCGAGTTTGAAAATAATTGCCACGGCTGTAGAAACAGGATTTGAATGCTTTTTCGATAATAATCAATCTGAAGTTAAAGACTTATTTGTCAAACGTAAAATTGAAGATATTTCTGAGCAAGGAATGGCATTTTATGACTCTTGTGTAAAATCAATTTCATATAACGAACGACTTGGTAAATATGCTGATGTTTTAACGAATTTAAAAAAATTTCTTGATGGTAAGTAAAAATTACAGCATGCTGAAATTTTTATTATTTACAATTATTATTATCAAAAAAATTTAATTATAATTCATATTATTAGATCATAATTTTGATAAAGAAAATATATTAAGCATTATCAAAAATCTTGAAGCTGAATGCAATATCATTATGAATCAAATTGAAGATTTAACAGCGGATTACGAAAATATAAAAATTAAATTGATAAATATTAAAATTGACTTGAGAAATCATAGAATTACTCGTGCTGAATCAATTACGACCAAAAAAAATGAGGTTTTATACTGTAAAAACAAGGCTAATTTCTTTAATATTATTTTGAAAACAAGTTCAGCTATATCAGCAACCAAATTAATGGTTGCAATATTTATAATTCTGATGATAGGAATTGTGTTATTACATTTCATTTCTGAATCCTATTCGAGTAAAGCAAAAAAATTAGAAAAGGAATTAGAGGATGTAAAAAGTCTTGATGATCATAGTAAAGAAGTTGAAAAAATTGAAAAACAGTTAGAATTTATAGTCAATCAACTAGGAAAATTTCCATCTTACTGGAATTCTCATAAGGTTCATTTAGAAACCGTCATTTTAAAGCTCCCAGATAAAGATTCCTGCGAAATTTTATCGTTTATAGGAGAATCGATTAACGACAGGTGGAAAGATGTGAAACATGAATGTAATGAATATAATAGAATAGTAAGTGGTATGATTAATAAATGGGATGAAAGATTTATTTCTTCAAGGTATGTTTAACTCATATTTATTATTTAATAATTTCCATCTTTAAATATTAATTAATATTAATTAATTATACTTAATTTGCTATTTACATAGTTCCGCTTAATTGATAGCAATATATTAAACCATGTAAATTTCTACAATAATTATAAAATTTTTCTACAGTAGTTATAAAAATCTTTCAACCGTATTTTGTCGCATACTTAGTGCATGCTAATTAAGCTACATTTTGTGGAAGAAATTTATTGTACATTTTGATTTACTTATTACGAGTTTTCTTTTTATTTATATGATCCATTTATTTGTATTACCGTTGACACTGAATATAATATCTAGATCTCGTTTAAGAGCTTTTATTTTTTATATAATAAAGGAGATAGATTATTTGAAAGATAATAAATTAACATAACTATTTTTCGTTTATGATTCAAGAATTAAGCATAATAACAATCGGATCTTAACCATATAATAGTACGTTAAATTTTTGAATAAAGAGGCAATTATTCGTAATCGTAAAAACCTGAATAAATAACTCATATTGAAGGTCTGTAATTTTGACCAATCATATTCCTTATACTATCTAGCATTAAATATCACGTTTTTACCCAAAAAATCACATGCTGTGCTTGCGTTGTTGTGCTGGTAATGTGGATCCTGAAGGCCCACAAAAATAAGAATTTAGAGGATTCAAGATTTTTGCAAAGTCAAAAAAAAATAATATTTGGAAAGCCCTCAAATAAATGATTCAATTGCTTATACACTAAATACTCAAATTAAAAATTTACATATGATCTGCCCCAAAAGTGAACTTACCAGAAATTTCAGGCAAATTTGTCTGTAAGATGGTGTGAGGGTCAAACTTCATAGAAAGAAGTTCGTCTGATTGGCAAATAATTTCCAATTATTTATACAATTTAAAGTAATTTTTATATTAGGGGGTTTCAGAGTTAACTTATTTTGAAAATAAGTGGGAGTTTGAAAAGTTCAATTTTTGGATTGAAATTTCGAAATCAGAAAATGAAAAAGGAGTTGTCCGAAGATAAAATACAAACTTTTTTTAATGATATATATTATATCTTACGATATAAATAGGCTTACAAATAAAAATAAGTAGGATTTATAGATCTCTGATTACAAAATTAATACGTCGCTAATTTAATTCGAAATCAGAAACATGAACCTTAAGTCTGAAACCCCAATTAGATAAAATAATAGTAACTTTTTTTATGTTTTGTTTTTGTGTTCGTTATCATTTTTTTTTCTCTTAAATACCTCAAATTTTTGAATTTGCAACAATTTTTTTTTCTTTCATTAAAGGCCTCAAATTTTGAAATTATTTTCACATAAAAATCAGAAATGGAATTCGTAACAATTAAAGTAAGAGTCTTTGTTTTGTTATATGAAGTTAGGTACCATGAAAAAAACAGAAATGATTTACATACGTTACTTACGATATTATGGTCTATAGTCTTAAAGTTTAAGTAGTCTAAAATTTGAGACTGGCTTGGAATAGACCAGTTTTAGCCAAGTATAACAGAATGCGGTCATACAATTTTGGGCAAAATCCATACATGACGTCATGTATTGAATATGTTCAATTTAAAAATTTTATTATACAGTATTACGATTAAATCTATCATTTATAGTTATTAAATTGCAGAATGGACAACACTCATATGCCCTATGAGAAAAGTGGTCCGGGTTGTGGCTCGGGTTGGTTTCGGGAATGCACGAAATGGTACGGATGTGTGGCACG